GTCCCTGGCGCCGCGCCGGGGGCCGCCGCCGCCGCCGCCGCCGCCCCCGTCACCTCCGCCGCCAAAGCCGCCGCCGCCGCCACCGCCCTTGCCGCCGCGGCCGCCGCGCTGCACCACATCGTGCTGCAGCAGGGAGGCGCGCAGCAGCAGCGCGCGCGTCTCCCGCGCGTACGTCTCGCCCACCGCCAGGACCTGCGGGCACGAATGTTAGCCACACGGCGCGGATCAGCCCATGTTTTGGGTGCAGAGGCCGCACGGGCACCCACACAGTGGCGCGCAAAGGCATGCTGAGCACTCCCAGGACAGCTGCGTTGCTGCAACCGTCAGCTGCGCACACAATCTCAAAGCTTTGCTGGAGCGACCAGCGTTTGCAACCACACAGCTATCCATGGGCTCCACGGCCGGCGCGGTGCGCTGACGATGCTGCCGAGGCCAATGGCGCCGCCCAAAACAAAGCGCTTCAAAGGCCACCGCCCGGCACGCAGCGGCGCCAAAGCAGCAAATTGGTCAGAGCTCGCCCTCTCCCGCGCCGCGCCGCACCTCCTTGAACGTTGCGCTGCGCACGTCTGCGTGGCGCGCGTACAGCACCTGACGGGGCAGGTGCAGGGGTTGAGGACGCCGGAATTCAGGTGGCCGGCCGCCGTTTGGAATGAAGCTCTCGTTGCTGCGCGTGCTGGTCAACAGGCAGGGTCGCCCAACATCGAGTGTGCCGAGAGGCGACAATAAGTTGCATGCATGGATGGATGCCTTCAAACAGACATGCGCCGACGGTGAAATGCAGCGCGCTTACGAGGTGCTTCTGCACTGCTACCCATGCGCCCTCGGCCCCTGTGCTCCCCCTCCTCTCTGGCCTTCCCCACCACAAGCCCACCCGCGCCCTGCCACGCACCTTGGCCTGGCTGTCAATGCGCGCGTGCACTTGCCCGTCCATGATCAGGGTGGCCAGCTCCTTCTCAAGAGCACTGAGGGGGCACAGCAGTTGGACAGATGCTTTCTGAGAGGCTGCAATTTATGATGCTGGATTGTAAGCCGTGGGAACGGCGCCTGAGCAGGTGGCGCCTGCGCAGCACTTGGGGCCAGCTACGACAAGGGGTGTCCATGAACCCCTGCACTGCCCGACCGAGAAGGACGGGCTCGGCGCGTCAGCGACAGCCGTCCAAAATGCAGTGCGGCAGAGGGGGCCCGGCGGCTCGCGCCCCCCACCCGCCCCCCGCCCACCCTGTGTCCGTGCCGAACGCCTGCGCCATGGCTGCGAGGCTGACGCTGCTGTAGGGGGCGGTGTACTGCACCAGCGCGCGGTGGCGGATGCTGGCGTACAGCGCCTGGGGGGCAGTGGCAAGCGCGGGTTGAGAGTGCGACAGTGGGCGCGCTTCCAAGCACATGTGCTGAGAGTGCAAGCTTGTGTTCTTGTGTGTGTGCGTGGGAGCGTGCGTGTGCTCATGCTCAAGGGGGACAGGGGGCCTGGCGCGGCACTGGCGGCACGTAGTAGACCCCGCAACCCAGAAGCAGCGCAAACTCGCAGCAATGCTACTGCCCACACGCCCACTGACCGCAACGGCCGCGCAAGCACCTGCTGCGGCCCCGCGGCCGCGCGATCCCATGCAGCAGGCTGCCCGCAAGGCAAACCGCGTGCGCAGTCCCCGCGCGCGCGCCCCCCACCTGCGCGTGGTCGTGCAGGTGGACGTCCAGCGCCAGCGCTGGCCGCAGCGCCGCTAGGTGCGCCAGGCACGACGCGTAGCGGCTGTTGTAGAAATCAGATATCAGGTCCCGCACCTGATGGGGTTGGCGGGTGGGAATGCAGGGTTGAGTGGGCGGGGGATGCAGCGGGGCCTGAATGCGCTTGTTGGTTAACGCGCCGCATGGTGGCGCATGCAGGTGTGCATGCGTGCGCGCGCATGTGCATGGGCAGTAACATGCAGGCATCGTACGGGCATTGTGCGTATATGTGTATGCGTGTGTGCTTTCTGTGTGCACGTGCAGTGTGTATGTGCAAGCATGTTCGTGAGTGCGTGAGAGTGCGTGGCAGGGAGGGAGAGAGAGAAAGAGCAGAGAGAGAAAGAGACACACACACACAGATAAACACACACACGCACACGCACACAGAGACAGAGACAGAGAGAGAGAGAGACACACACACACAGAGAGAGAGACACACAGAGAGAGAGGCACAGAGAGAGAGAGAGAGAGAGAGAGAGAGAGAGAGAGAGAGAGAGAGAGAGAGAGACAGAGACAGAGAGGTGACAAGCAGGCACTGATGCTACATTTGGGCTGAGCAGCACCCGCAAGCAGTGTGCTCGCTGGAAAGTAGACACAGCTCTGGCTAGTTGTAAGGTGCGGTGCTGTGCAAATGCAAATGAATATGCAAATGGTTATGGGGCCCTCGACCAAAACCATTTGAAAAATGCTGGGCTTCGGAAGAGGGAAGGAAGCCATCTGGTCTTGATGTCAAAAATCCTTCAAGTTTGCAACCTTACAGCACTGGATTGGATGGAAGCCCCACCCAACTCAATCTGCGGCGCACTTGCCCACACGGCCGCCGCACCTGTGGGTGGAGCTCCAGGAATTCTCTAAAGCCTATGCTGCCGATGACCTTTGACTGAAGGTCTGACCGGTCAAACGTGGCCAGAGCGCACAGGCCCCCATACAGCGCCACGTCTGCAGGGCTCAGCACCTGAATGGGTGGCACGTGCCAATCACTTGAGTCGGTGGGGCGTGCAGGTCAAAAGCACGATGCTGTCAAGCACCAAGAATCAACGATAGGTACCCCTGGAAATGTTGCAAGCGTCCTCAAAGCCCGCCTGCCAGCACCTGTATACATGCAACACGCATGTTACGTCAAGGCGACATGCTTGCAGAGGACGCGATAACACAATTGCATGCTCCCAAAACATGCGCATGCACATGCAGGTAACCCCACCTCATTGTAGGTGTAGGCCAGCTCCGGCGACACCTCCACAAACGCGCGCGCCGCCTGCCGGTACTTGCGCTGGTCCAGCAGCGACAGCCCTGCGGCCGCCTTGAGCTTGGCAGACGTGCAGGGGTCGTCCTGTTGCCGGAGCGCACAGCGTGTCAGGTGGTGAGCCCCGGGGGCGTGGCGTGGAGGGGCCGAGGCAACCAATCGGCGTTCACATGAAGCTGCGACCCAAGAGAAGTCCTTGACTGTAGTCGCCTCCAAACACACACACCGGGAACAATCACGATGCACCAAACCCCTGCCACTGGCAGCTTTAAGCCCTGGCGCGAGGCAGCAGGGATGCGCCCGTACAGGCGCACCTTGGCTTCAGGCGTCGCCTCTGCCTTCCCCACGTAGTTCGCGACGTGCAGGAAGTTGCCCATCTCCACGGCGCAGCGAATGACGTTGAGGCACATGGCCAGCACGTGCCGCGGCGTGGTGCAGTAGTCGCGCGTGCGCACGTAGCACTTGAACGCGTCCTGCGCGCAGCATCGGGTTGCACGTGTTGATGCGTCAGTCAGCCGTTTGCTTGCGCAAGGGGGCTGGCCGTTGCTCAGGGTTTGGACGACATGGGCGACACCAGGGCCCCTGAACAAGATAGCAGCTGTGCCGCTTTCCAAGCTGTCTTTTCCAGCATGCGCGTACTCGCGCGCGCACAAGTTTCAGCTGTGTGCGCTGAATTACAAGAGCGCACCGAGAGGCTCCCCCTGTTGTAGTAAAAGTCCCCGAGGTCGTTGTGCCCCAGCCTGATGGACTCCTTTATAAGGTTTGACTTTGACCCATGCAGCTCGCTCTCCAGCCGCTCCTTGCGCGCCGCGGCCGCCTTCTCCGTCGAGTCCAGCAGGGACCTGCCGGGTGGTGGGTTGTTGCGCAAGTGAGGTGGGGGCGGCTGGTGGGCGAGGTTGATGCTGGTGTGTTGTGAAGATTGTGGATGACAGTCAGCAGAGGCAGATCAGGTGAGAGCGGTATGAATGTGAGGGTGCGGGGCCGCCCGGTTGCGTTGCCCGCAGGAAAGGGCCTTGCCTGTGAGCAACCCCAACAGTGCCCACTGCTGCCGGGGCGAAAAACATGGCAGCTTCTGGCGGTTTCTTTCGAGCGGGCCCGCCGCTGCATCTTCGTACATTACCCCCTCACAGATGCACGTCCCAGCTTCTGAGCTGCCGTGCACACGCCGCTCGTAGGATGCCTGATATGCTGCCCCCTGCCCCGTTCAAGCAACACCCCATTTCAGCCACGGGCGCTCACTGGTCCAGCGTGTATGCTGGCCCTAGCCGCCCGCCAATGCGTGTCATCACGTCCTCATAGCGTGCTGTATTGAACGTCTCGCGCAGCGTCTGCATAGCAGGAAAGGCAAACATGGGGCAGGCGAGGAGTGGTCGGGCAACAGCGTGCACGCCACGCAGCAACTGAGCATATGTGCCACCGAGAAGGCGCCGTAGGCGCCTCAGCTGCCACGGCAGGTCTATGGCCCGCAAAGGCAATAAGCTAGTAGCTCATGCCCATCTCTACGCCATTGATTTACCTGCTTGAGCTCATCTGCCGCGATCTTGAGCGCCTCGAGCTCCATAGGCTGGCCCGCCGACCGTTCGGAGATGAATATAAGCCTGTCTATCTTCGTGTGTGATGTGTAGCCGCTGATGTACGCCTGTGGGACGCGCGGTGATCAATCGAGATCACTTCGCCAGGTCCCAGCATTCTCACGGCCCCACGCACCTCTAGATCAAATAATTCGTCATTGTTTCCCCGCCTATCCTCCTCCATGAGCGCCATGCTACCAAAGGGGCCTTAGCGAGGCTATCCTCCCCCCTCTGCAAGATCACTCTCAAGGATTTGTATGTGGCAAGTCAACTACAGTCATTGTCGTTTGATACAAGCAATCACGACGGCTGCCTGTACATGCAGACGAGACGAGGCGATGGAGACCGCCCATGTGCGCCTGCTCGCCACTCCTGCCACCCGGGTGTCGCCGTGCTGACAGGGAGTGACGACAGCGCAGCGCCACACACAAAACAAGCGCAGCCTAGGCCATCTCATACTCTCACACAAGTATCATTGTCTTGTTTCTCGATACGAACATTGTCCAAGAAGCTTGCAAGCACAGCACAGCGCTCAAATCGTCCGAGAAGCCACGACATACTGTAGTAGCCCTCACTCTTTGCCTGCTGGGTTGCCTGTGGCCCTCCAGGTGGCTAAGCCAACCTGATAAGATAGCATCGACCATGGGGCGGCGCCTGCTGCCCCTCCTCCTGCTGCTGGCCGCCGCGGCCGGCGCCGCGCGCCCCACCCGCGCCGCCTCGCCGCGCGGCGCCGCGGCTGCAGCTGCCGGCGCCGGGCGCTGGATCGGCGAGCACCTGCCGGCGCCGTCTCTGGTCGGAGATGTGGCCGCGCCGGAGGTGCATGAGGACATCTCAGGGCCGCCCATGGGCAGCGGCAATGACAACCGCCCTGACCACCCACACGCCACCGTCGAAGACAATAAGGCGCTCCTGCGCGCCGCCTATGAGAAGACACTCTCCGGCCTCTCGGCCACCCGCGCAAGCGCGGCCCGCACGGGCGCCGGCGCCGGCGCGGCGGCCGGAAGCGCGCTCGACGCGCTCGGCGCCGCAGAGGCGCGCCTGCGGGAGTGGGGGCGCGCGCTGCTCGCCGCGCCGGCTCGTGCGGGCCACCGCATCACCCATCCCACAGAGCCCTCCGCCTCGGGACAGCGCACGGCGCCAGGCCCCGCTTCTGCTCCAGCCCTGGATGACACACCGCCTCAAACCGTGACGGGGCCCACTTTGATCCCTGCAATGGACCCCGTCGCAGCTGCGGCCGCCGAGGCCGCGCACCACCAAGCCGGGGTCGAGGCACTGCGCGTCGTCGTCGTGTCCGTCGGCGGCCTGCTGACGCCGGAAGCCGCCCAGCAGCTGCCGCACGCGTGCGGCGCGTGCGAGGGGGCGGAGGGCGGGACCGATGCCAGCGGCAGCGCGTGCGACGCGCGGGCGGAGGTGCTGGCGTGCATGGAGAGGCTTGCGGCGGCGCTGGCGTTGGACGTCACCCAGCAGGAAGCTTCCGGGCAGGTGCAAGAAACGCGCCGGGCGGTGGGGTGCCAGGGAAGGAGGTGTAGATCTAGAGGGCCTGCTGATTGCGGGCGGAGGGTCTTCAAGATGGGCCTTCTCCTCAACATCGGCGTGGTCAGCTGTGCCCTTGCCTTGCTGCCGCTTGGACAGGTGTGAGCAGCTTGAGAGTTCAGCCGCCACTTGAACATGCGTGTGGCTCGACCGCCCCTCCCTACCCTCAGCCCAACCACTCTGGTGTCGGCCCGGGGCACGGGCGGACCTGTCACCAACTGTCACCGCTCTTTCACTGATTACCATCAACCTCTGGTCCGAGCCTAAAGTTGCTCCACCCACCCCCCCTCCTTCGCCCCACGCACCCCAGGCCATGGCGACAGCTGTACCCCGAACCCCCACCTCCTGGGCCAGCCGCGCCTGGCACCGCGTAACGGACCCCATCGCTTCGCTGATCCATCACGTTGCAGCCGCACCAGGCGCCCTGTACCATAAGGCTGCGAAAGCCGTCGGCGGCGCCCACGACAAAACAGTAGCAGCCGCGTCCCACGCCGCAGGCGCGGCGGCCCGCGGCGCCGGCGGCGCCGCGCGCGCTGTCGGCGGCACGGCCGCGGCAGCTGCCGGCGGCGTTCAGCACGGCGCGGCGGCTGCAGCCGATGCGGCGAAGGGAACGATCAACACAGCTGCGCACACGGCCCAGGTGTGTGTGCGTTTGCAGCTGCCTGGGCCTTTCTTGTCCCTCCCCCCCTTGGGAAGGGGGGACAGCCCCTTCCCCCTTGGGGCGAGAGTGGGGAAGGGGCTCCTGGGGGGCACCTCTTTGACTAACCCCAGTAGGGAGGTTGTGTTCTCCCAGGGTCACCCGCAAGACACACCGGCTCCCCCATGAATGGGCGTGCCGCTCACGTTCGTGGCATCTTGTCATATGTTGCATCTTGTCATATGTTGCCTCAGACTGTTATCTGCTTGCACGGCTTCTTTGCCTTCCCGCCCTTCGGTGTCATGGACATGCCTTTCGTGTCCACATTGAATCGCCCCCGCCTCCGCCTGCCACCTGCCACACAGGCCGCAGCCCATGCCGTCGTGTGCGCCGTCGACGACGCCGCCTGCCATGCACGCCAGGCGGCGCAGCGCGCGGCAGACGCTGCCAGGGAGGCAGCCCGGGCCGCCGCCAGCACCGCGGCCCATGCGCTCAAGCGGGCCGCGGCCGCCGCAAAGCGCGCCGCACACGAGGCCGGCGGTAAGC